ACATTCATTGTCATTAAAATAAGGATGTGAATTTCCGTTTAGACAAAGATAACAAAAGAAACATCTGGGAGATTATTTTAAACAATGAAATTTTGGAGATGATTTACAATAGGAAATTTATTTGATTATATATTTGTGTGGTTGGAGTCTCGCGAATAAAATTCGCGACAGAAGATACGATTTTTACCTTCTTCCCATCTATTCATTTGTTAATTCATCTTTAATATTCCCGCACATGCTGAAAATTAATTAGCTTTTATTGCTAAAATAAAGGCAGGTGCTACTTCCTCCACTATCACTGCTATCATTCTACTAGTACAACTTATTTTCATTTCATTTTTCACTTTTGAAATATTCATAAATTTCAAATTCCATTTAATTTTTAAAAAAATTCTTTTAAGAACTTTTTTAACATTTGTTTCCAACAATATTTTCGCTTAACAATAAAAGCAAAAGTATTCCTAATATTATTACTGTCATATATTTGATGCTTATTCATAATCAAAACTAATTCTTTGCAAATTACAAATTTGAATTTGAATTTTTTTTTTCGCTTCATACGGAAAAGTTTTCCATTTTTTGTCCCTTTCTTTCTTATGATTTAAATAAATTTTCCAGCTTCACTGACAATATTTCTTCCTCATCTACTATCGAAGATTGGGAGTGAATGAAAATATAAATCGTTTCATTATGACCAAATGATTACTCATACAGAGGGAGAGAGAGAAAGAGAGGGAGAAAAGAAGAAGAAAAGGGAAAAAAGCTATTTAAAACTGCTTGGAAATAATTTTTCACTCTTTTATAGCAATCTTGACTGGATCTAAGTTACGATGAAGCTAGTAAATTCTTCGATCATTCCAGTGCTTTCGTTTTTCTTTACTCTTTTCCTCCAAACGAATTAAATCTTACCATAAGAATCGTTAAATAAATAGCCCCTTTAACAATAAATTAAAAAAAAAAAAAATCCAGCAAATAACAGCAATGTTTACGATATTTTTTTATCAATTTATTCTAAAAATTTGTCACACTTTTAATTTCTGAGAAAAAAAAACGAAATTTCTACTTGATTTCCTTTTTAAATTGGCAAAATTACATTCATTCAATATCTTTTAAAATGAGGCAATTTTCCACTTATTATTGCTCTTTTTCTTCCTCCCTCTATTTGCATAACAATAAAATAATCGTTATCACTTACTGCTTTTTTTTTTGATAATATATACATTCATATATTGTCATACCGGTATATATCATATATGCAAATATCACTGGATATTACCAGTAACAGTTATGTTAATATGCCACATATATGCTTGTCGGATTAGCATGCTTACCAATTTATTTGTAAAATATAATATTCCTTTAATTTTAGATAATAGTAGAAACGATATTATTGCGTTTTCGCTATAACATATTTCCTGTATATTGCATGATACAAGTGATAGTGATATTAATGAATGATATATAGTTGGCTACTATCATAATTAACGAATTTGATTATTTGGCATAGCAAAATAATGATATATGTGATAGTTATCAATTAAGTAATGTCGAACAATAATAATACACCTATTAAACAATGCATTGAATCTGAAGTAAGTTTTTCGTTTTTTTCTTTTTTCTCAAACTCATCATCAACAACGATTATAAGTGAAATAGCAAGAATTTTAAAAACTAGTTTGAAATATTTTTGAACTTGTCTTCGATTGAATATGCTGTAACTTCTTCCAACTTTTTTCAGTTACTTCTAACTTTAAGGCATAAATTATCAATAAATGGATTATAAAAAATTGAGGATAAGGTTGATGAACTTAAAGCTGAAAATTTTATTTGTTCGAAAATTTGACTAAATTTTAAAGCATTCGTTATTTTTTCATTCTTTACAACAATTCTTACATTTTTTGAATTTCAATACAGGATACTTGAAATATTGTCAATCTCCTTTATTATCATTAATTTAGATCTAATTAATCATGAATTAGCACAAACTTTAGTATAACTTCATTAGACACAAAAAAAGTTAACTTCAATAAATGTTAAAATTGTATGCTAGATGTTAGCAATAATCAGTTAATAAGTAATCAATTTGAATACAGGTAGTTGATGAGATAACAATAACAAAAGCCAATGCAGTTATCATGCACATGTTATTTGTTATGTGCTTCTTCTCCGTATCTCTCCAAGTGATCGTTATCATTAATGCTTTGCGATATATTCGTAAACATGCAAGCGAATGCTGTATGCATATCTTTCTACTCAATATGACATTAGCTGATCTTCTATTAACTGGTAAATTAATTTTGGTACTCTTCCGGTTACAATTAATCCTATGAAAAATTGCTTCACTTCAATAACCATATATTTGGATACAATTAGTTTGTGTATTTTTTTAGGTATTGCATTACCAATGGAATTCTTGATAGATATCGATACGATTACATTGCAATTTCCGTATCATATCAATTTGATGATGCACTTCCTTCTTTGGCTTGGTACTTCCGTATCAGGATTAAATTTGGTGCTTTTAAATGTAGAAAAGCTCATTTTTTTCAAATTTCCTCTAAGGTATTTTCCTCTATTCTTTATTAAATTAAATACTTAATTTGAACAACTATTATCAAAAAAAAAAGTGCGTTTCATTCAGATTAATTTTCTGCAATACCCATTTAAATCTATGTTTAATGATCATTTATCTCAATAATTAGGATTGCTTAGTTGATATTTTGAATTTCTTATAAGAAATCCTTTATATGCTAAATCTGACTTGCCTACATGTCGAAATGTCTCTAATTAGATAATCAGATTAACCTCAATCATTCCGTTCATGCGTGGTGCATATGCATAGTGCATATGCATCACATCAAATAAATTTTCCGCTAAATAAACTTTTGCTAATCATTTCTTTTGCAATTCATCAAATTACTTCAAGGTACTCAGAATTGGTGACACGAAATCGAGCATATTTGATGGCATTTGCTACCTGGTTTCTTAGTGTCATCTTCATCTATTTAGCATTTTATACTCGAGCATTAATTTGTCGTTATAATTGCGAACGGCTTACCACAGATAATAGTCGTTATGGTCCACTGATGTATCTATTCTTTACATTTTTCGTTTCCGCTTTTCCGGCTCTCTCATCCTTTATGGTTGCGCTTTATTTATTACGGATTGTCAGCATTCATAGGAAACAAATTGCTGAAGGTTATTTTTATTTACATTTCTTTTTTCTTTTCTTGTCTTCTTTTGTTGAAAATTGTTACAATTTAGTTATAAAATATGAATTTTAATTTAAACAGCATACTTTCAAAATGAATATTGATTAAGTTCAAAGATCAAATCAACTAATCAGATATTTTGTTTATGCTCCGATATGAACAGTGGGAATATGTTAGAATATAAATTTGTACATGAAAAATCTACTTTTATTAAAATTAAAATCTCATCTCAAATTTTATTCCGCCTTTTCTCTGTTTTTCAAATATATTTTAACACTTATTAAACAACTTGTCATTTTGGCCTTTTAATAATTAACCTTTCATGTATTTGTCGACTAAATCGGTCAAGATCTTCAAAGCAAAGTAACGTTCGAATAAGTTGGCTCAAATAATATTGCATCCCTTTTACTATGCAAATTATCATACTGATCGTAACTCAAACAATCCATTTGATAATTATGGATCATTAACTTATCAACTCAACTTTTAGAACAAAAATTGTACACTGCAAATGGTATATGTGGGAAAAATAATGCTTTGAAATCTGGAATGCGGACGTTTTATTTTATCTTCATTTCAACCTTTTTCACTATTTTAACGCTAACACCGTATCGTTTGGTGACACTTTACAGGACTATCATTGATAAGGACACCGTAATTCGGGCATGTAGTAGTGTCTTTATCAGTGTGCTTACCTATTATGCGATGGATCTAAATCCGGTATGTGTAGTGTAGTTAATTAGATGACTAAGAAATAAACATTTGGAACAGTTCGATTTAATTAAGATTAATTACTTTGTACGTCACCCATTAGTCTAATTAATATATTCGAACTACCCAAAATAGTGAAAAAATTCGACAAGGTATATATTATGATTAGTGACATTTGACAGCATGTTACATTTGACATTGCTTGTTATCGCGGTACTCATCGTAGTTTTCCAGATTCTGAATCCGCTGCTAACGGTCACCATACTACCGCAATACCGTTTACATTGCTTGAATTTCCTTATACCACTCCGCTTTAAAAATAGTCATGATGAAATGTGCGACAAATAAAGTATTGGAATTTACGTAAAAGAATGTTCAGCAATAAATTGAATCATAACCAAAGTTATACAAATGAAATGTTTTCTGTGGAAGTGAAATTATCAATATTTGCAACTTTAACTTTTGCCTTGATTTTGGAGAGAAAAAGGAATAATTTCAATTGTTCATTGTGTTGATCAGAGCTTTACAAATGATTTCGTAAAGATTTTAAAGAAGATAGCTAATAGAGTAAAATTCCATGAATTGATAAGATTTAAACGGATAAAATTAGGAAATAGTAATACATCAATTCTCAATCAATGAATAGTTTAATATTATGTTATAAAAACATGAACTTCTGAAAATGTAAATTGAGATTGCTAAACAAAACAAATCATTCAAAGTTCTCTTGCTTCTATTTATTGGTAAATCAAAACTAATGAGAAGAAGAAGATGGATTTAATTGAGTATGCTGATGAATACAATTGCATTCACAGTGTTATCGTCGCAGGGAATTTGGTTATCGTTTTGGTTCCGTATTTATTTGCTATTTTATTTTCATCAAAATATTGATATTATAATTTTTTTTCGGTTTTTTAACCTTTCTGCTATAAAACTTTCAGACACAACGAAAGAATTTGATATGGAATACATAATGATGTGGAAAATTGAATTTTAAAAAGAGAAGAAAAAGTACTGCAGAGTTTAAAAAACATAGAATTATTAATTCTATTCCTTCATTTCGAATGTCAACTGTTTTTCACAAATATCTAAAATAATAATTAAATGTGGCATTATTTGTCATTGCTCCTAAATATTGCATTTTATTTTTTTTGCAATCTGTCATTTCATTTTTTTAAGCGTTTAACAAATTTGTTCATTGTGATGTTTGTATATCGCCTAGTGTTTTCTTCTATTTGTTTATGATGATTGATACGTCTTCAGTAAAAGCTTCTACCGTTTGTATCGTTTAACTGAAAATGAAATGACAGTGAAAATGTCGTCAGGAAGATGATCGTGATTTGTCAATTGGAATAACAGTATCAGTGAAATGAAATGTCCTATACGGTTCAGATTAATTTGCACAAATAAATTCATCAGGAGTTTTTCGGACCGGTCATTTTTTTACAACAGATTTTAATCCGTAATATTGATCAGTTGTTAATGAGAGAGCATTTTTTGAAGTTCAAAATTTGATAATCGTTAAAATTAGTGAAATGTGATTGAGTACATTGAAAAGTGTAAGTTTATGGAAGCAATGCATTCAACAACAAAATAGCATACATGCATACGCTAAATGATTGAAATATGCAAAACATTTGAAGTAATGGAGGATATGAAGTGCAATGTAACAAAATTTATTCAGCAATGCGAAAATGGTAATGTGTGACCACTGATTTTCAGTTTTCTCTGCCTGGTCAGACAAGACGTTTTGCAAAATGGACATTAATTTATGACCAAGATCGAAGAAATGAAAAGAATTGATATCTAAGCAGTTCTAATTAAAGTCCTTATTGGAATCTGAAGGAATTAAATCATTTCGTTTTGAAGTTGGCAAAAATTTAGAAATTAGAATTCGTTAAAAAATGATACAAATTCCTTCCATAAATTCAGGAATTAGCTAAATCGGTGGTGATAAATAACATGTACCACGCAGAAAAGCCACTGTTAAAAGGAAAATAACAATGAAATTAACGAAGCAAAGTGTAAAAATTAAATTATTTCGTTTTTTCCGCTGCCGATATATTTCCCACTTTTGAGTAGACACCTAAAATAAGCAAAATTTGTTAGTTACAAACATCTGCTAGTGCTGTTTGTCGAGTAAATAACTTTTAAATCTGGTATAGAGAAAATTTCTTCAATTAAATAATATCTAATGACATCGAAAAAAAAGGAATACAAATTCTGAACTCTTTATGTACTTTCTATGTTTCGCTTATTAATCGTTAATCCTTCGAAAACTGACACATGGATTTCATTTTGCTTTATTTTTAATTAACTGTCCACTATCCTCACTGCTGGTCAACAAAAGATTACTTTCAATGATTTGGAATGAAATCAATTCAAATTTCAAAACGTCTTTTTTTTTAATTTAACTTTAAATGACTGGCCATAATCATGAAATACGATGTGATGTCTAATTGTAATATTAGCCTTATCATTTTCAACTATTATAATTTTTTTTTTCTTTTAAACAAATGATTATGAATTAACCCGATAATACAGAAAAGATGTCACATAGAGGTTATAGATTACTATGGTCCATCAGTAATTTCAGAGTGGACAAAAGATGGTTAAATATTTGTGTTAAAATTTAAATGAAAATAGCAGTTTTTACGAGATAGTCAAGATCTATTAATGATTCGCTCATTTCATGGGTCATCATCATCTGCCCTTCATGGTTTTTTGCATAACTGTTGCATAAGTTTACTGTACAGCAATAATATTCGATATCTGCAATAAAATTACCACTCTCGAGTGATGACTGAACAGGATGTTCGCAGAGATTATGGTGCTAGGCATCTAATTTAATTCATTCTGAAATGTACCACTGGTCAATTTATGAGACAAGCACATTCGCGGAAGAAGCTTGCATACCTTAATGAGCTTGTGAGGTATGCAGACGGTGGCCTATGCCTCCAGCAGTCTAGCTCTTATGCTAGACAAGTCTCAAATGAAGGGTCAGAAAAACTCAAATGTCAGAAATGAAGGGTCAGAAAAGTATTCACGGAGAGGATGGGCTAGTGAGCCCATCCTCTCCGTGAATACTTTTCTGATCTTCTATCAACCATCCTAAAAGAAGAACAAATTTAACTCCAAATCCGGACAGATTGAGCTCGTTTAGCCATGTAAGACTTCCATCCGGGAGAAAGATAATCCCGAGGACTTTACTGTCGCGGTCCGAACTCAATAAGCCTTAAGCAGATGAACACTACGAATAAGAGTAGGGTCAATTTCATGCACGTTGTGGTTTAACTGAAAAATCCACCGTGCAAGCTCGAAGGATACACGCATATTTGTGGCTTTTGCTGTAAACGTGGGTAGAACCTTTCCCAAATCTTCGATCGAGAGGCCTAGCCATAATAGCAAAAATTAGTGATTAAAAAAACTAATTTTACCGTTGAATTTCAAATATGTCCTATTTGATTTGTATAACTTATAATTTGAAGGACATTTCGCATTGAATGTATCGATACAACCATAAATTGCATGCAAGTGCTTATCGATACTACGGAAGCATGCTGATTCTCCGGGAGAACATTGATTGATGTTTAGATCATCATCAGTGCCAACAAAACTACATTGATCATAGTACTTAAATAGTTCTGCTATGTTTATATAATGTAAGGAGAAAAGAAAACAAGTGGTACCAAAAATTTAAATAAGTAAATAACTACTCAGAAGCTCAAATAAATTTCTTTGAAGACTAAACAGATCGGAAAGATTTTCGGATATAATATTAGAAGAGATGTCAGGAAATATCAAAATCAAAATATTAGAAGATATCAGGGAAGATCTCCCAGGTAAAATTAATCGTGCTGATAAAAATAAGCCCACCAATAGTTTGGAAGTTTCAGTAAGGAAGGAGGGAGGAAAAAGATATCTCAGTGATTATACATAAGTGGAAATCTATTTTCCATTGATAATCCGGAACTACTTCAACCAAAACATGCCATATCAAAAAGTTGTAAATTTGTTACTAAGGAACTTCTTGCAACAAATACAAATATAATCTCAACAAGGTTACTTTACTCGGATTAACCATCAGAATCATACCATCTTAGAGTTTGCAAACTTTCCGCAAAAGGAGTTATTAAAATTAAATAATGTAGCAACAACATTCACTGAAGCAACCGTACAATCAGTGACATGAGGCAATAAATGACTCATAAATTTTCTTGCGACTTGAATAATTTAAAATGGGTGGCAAGATTCTCTCCTTATACATTTAAGCAACCAGTCGCCATTTACTCACTCATTAGATTTGACCAAATTAGGGAAATGCTAAAGAGGGATTGACCAATTAAGTTGAAAGACCAGTTAGAGTCAAATAATGATTTTGTCCTTTAAATGGAACAGTTATTTGTTCAAGACATCTACCGTAACAGCAATTTTAAATTCTGTTTCTCTCGAAGTGCAGCAAGAAGTAGAAAGATTATAGTTAACAGTAGAGACGACGGAGAGTGGGAGAGTGGGCGAATTTTTCCAATACACCACTCATTATTTGATGCACACAGATTAATATTGGTAAAATAAGAGTGCGTGCAAGTAATGGTTAGCAAGCATCTCAAAACAGAGGTTAGGTCGATAAATCGAATAATCTCCACCTGAGGAATGCGAGAGCAACAATTTGGGAGGTTCCAATGAGGCGTTCCTCTTCCGGTGCATATCGCCGGGAAAGGGTCAGAGTCGCTCAACATTTGCAATTCGAGAATTAACTTCAGGGAGGCTCCGTCCATCACAGTGATAGTGCCCGGAGTAAACTCAGTCGGGGCGGGATTCCTAATGATGCAACATATGACAGGTTTGATACCAAATCCTTTTATTTCACACTATAAGTTTAATAATCATTACATTAGTTCTGGTTCAGGGGTTTACGAAAGCTCTTGTGAAACCATGAGGATATACTTTAAATTTCTCAAAAGTTTGACATAGAAAACGATCCCAAAACGGTATTCTTCTATGCATTTTAAATAAACTGTCAGTACCGAAATAAAGTAACTCCAAACAATTAAAAGAATTGTTTTAAGCAATTCCTGAGATCATTTCAAATGCAAAAAAAAGTAAAATATCAATTGGGAAAAAAACAGCTAAGGGACACATGGGGAAAAACAAAACTTGCGGATTAAAGGATGGAAATAAAGTTTGAACAGACTGAAAATTCCAAACAAGAAAAAATTCAAAGAAGCTGAAATAAACGTCGCATGATTCAATCTGTACGAGGAACAGCTATGAAAGTACGTGGTCCGGATGAATATTCAAAGAGATCAGTACATCCGGATGCATCTGAAATGTCATAAAATTATCGAAATTTTGGAAAGAAGTGATGGATAGTAATAAAAAATAAATCTTTTATTGGAAAGGAAAGAACATGTTATGAATTGTTCTAGCATAATTTGAACACCAAAAGTAATATCGTGAACAAAATTATTTAGACAAATGATTGCTCAAGCAGACGAAATCAACACCTGAACCAAGGTTTCACCATTTTCAGCCAAATATTCGTGCAATCTCTCAATGGCTGTATTAGATGACACTAATTTTCTGCTGATAGTATCGCCCAGTCTAGCTAATCTAAAAATAACATACATTAAAAACATAAATTTTTTTATGAAATCAGATTTGCAACTTTAAATCTTATTTGTCTAAAAACAGGAAACTCACAATAAACCGATCTGATTAAACCTCAATTTTCTTGTTTCTAAAAATAACACAATCCTAAAAAATTTGAAAAGGGTTAACCTACTTATAACAAACAGCGTATTCAAGTCGTCGAATTGGATGAATCCATTCGGCATCCATAAGAAATGATTCCACTGCCCGCAATACTGATCCAATGTTATATCGAAATGAAACGCTTACCAAAACATCATAATTCATTCTTTAAAGTATAAAAGTGAGGTTAAATTAAAACAATTTCGCAAAATTGATGACCAGACAAAAGAAATTCTTTTTTGAAAAACCTCTTTTTGATCGGGTTCTCTTCAACCAAGCAACTTATGCAATCACTGCCAGACTTTTGGCAGTGATTGCAGAAGTTATTGGTCGATATACGATTCGTGGTGTTGTCAATATTTCACATAACTTATTTATTCTCTTCTTATGAAATAATAAAATTAAATTTTCAATAATCGGAATCTATCCATCGAGATTGGAAATCGGCTAGAAGGCAACCCATTCACTGAATTATAGCAGTTAAATATCAAATCAAGAAAATTCATGAGCTGAGTCTTCTTGTATTAATTTTTTGCCAGTTTTAATGAGTCGAGGAAGCCAATAAAAATTCTGTTAGATCTTTAGCCTGAGTTAATAGAATCAGTTTTCATATAGTAGCAACCACAATTCTAACAGTTGCTTCGTGGTTACAAATCCCAAATTTACTATATGTTTAAATGATTAATGAATATTAATGATACAAGTGCTATCCACTGGTCTCACCAACTAAAGTACAAAGGCATGATAACGAACCTTGTCACGACAATTTGTCGATACTTCGCCGTCGCATCAATGAGACATTCCAACTCATAGGTCGAAATACCATCTACCCAGCACTTTTTTATACCTTTCGATCGTTGTTCATTCCACTCGGCGAACAATTTTCCACCAATGGATGCCAAATATGTGACATCAACAAACCATGAACGTCCTTTACACTAAAACTATCGAAACACTAATTTTCATACCAAATTATGAAAATCGATTTGTTGAAAAGGAAAGGAAACGAACTCATTATCTTTCTGCTGACCAAGTAAATCTCCAGTCATAATGAATTATTGAATATTAAGTCTAATTTTGTGGAATACGAAAGCAAATAAGAGTAACAACACCGACTGCACTAATCAGAATGGTTTTGTAGTTAGAATAATCAGCTTCCTTCAAGATAACAAGGTAAGAATTACGGAAAAAAAATAGAACATTCTGTAATTTCGTTGATACTTATCATAGTAATTACATTGTCGAACGAGCTTACACTTATTTGAAAGTCTCTATATGGTGTCTGTCCACTAAGATCCTGCGGTGACAGTGTTTCGATGACCCGTAACCTTAATGTTACGTCAACTCTCGATCCACTTCGTGTTTCCTCTTGCAGTATAATACTCGATGCATCCCACAAATCCCTATAGACCTGTAAAATATGGTATAATGGATAAATACTATTTGTTTACAACATATTATGACTAAGGCAGTAGGATGAAATACTATTAAAATAATAGTATCATAATTAACAGGATAAAGTAGCGCTGATACGAGGATTCCAGCAAAATAATCAGGTGAAATACTGAAATGCCGACAAAATTAAAAATGCAGAAAAAGGTTTTGAAGAAAAATGTTATATCAAAGGATATATGTTAAAAGCATAAGAATGAAAGACCTTGAAATGAAAAGCACCAACGGACAGCACTACATCAACAAGTAACGAATATGAGCAATGTTCTTCCGGATTTACACTTAATATCCATTCATCATGTAATTTCTTCTTTGTGCACTAAAAAACATCAAAATTCAAGAGAAGAAATAAAAACATAAGGAGCAATTATTTCTAAAGCAATTCCATTAATCTGAAGTGATACGAAATGAACGATATGACAACGACACAGCAAAGACAACATTGTAGGCATGATGAATGATCCGAGCGGTAAAGCAGCTAAAATTTCATTTCCTTATGTTGAAAATGTGAAAACAGAATAACAATGACGCTTTCGGTGCCAATATCGAAGGTGATCTCAGTTTGCAACTAAATTTTTCCAAATAGTTCATTAGTAACCAAACTTCCAGAAAGCATTTAGCAACCAAAAACTTCTAATGCCAAATTTAAGAGAATCCAATTAGACGACAAACGACCAAGTCCGTCATAAACAGCGCTTCAAAGTCGAATAAATCAAATTTAAAACAACATGATTATACTCCCTTACGAGGCCCAAACCAACCTGTATCGTACAAGAATATCCATATTCTGAAACTGCTGAAGACCATCCACCTGATAAATCTGCGCCACTCCATGTACGTTCTAATGTCCATGTCTGTTCCATACTATCTCACCAAATAACCACCAGTAAATTACTGAATCCAGTTTTTTAAATTAGAAATGAAGAACAAATTTTCTCATTTGTTACATTGTAAACAAAAAACCTTGTAATTTCACGTAATTGAAATACGAGGATATTTGTTGCCAACTCAAAATATAGATTATTAAATGCAGGAAATATAAATCAAAATAAGTGTTGTTTATCATATATTACATACATCGCTGACAATAATAATAGCTATACAAATATATAGATAGCAAACAAAAAGAATTTAAACTACCTCTTCAAACTTATCATACAACAAAGCAATTTTGGTACAAATTGCGACCTGGCTCATTTCAGATTCAATCTTTAAGCCTATATCTGGTCTGGAAATGAAGCGGTGGTACAACTGTACGATACGGAGAAATTTCGTTCTAATATGATCTGACCAATATTTTATTCCCTGTGAAGAAACAGCCGATATCATCGATTTTTTTTTGAGAGGAGAAAACTAACTCTTTCCAGATCAAATTATATAAACAGTTTAACGAGCCAATATTAAGGAAGCAATAACACAACAAAAAATGAAAGCAAAATATACCGTAATTTTAGATTTACCGGAACAAGAGTAAGATATCTATCGGTTAAATTGGTTTATAAAGTAGTGTTGTCACATATTTCTTACGATAACGATGTGTTGCAGAAAGTACCATAACACCATCCTTAATTGACAATGCATAAAGATGATTCAGCATTACATGGTTTGGTTCCGGTAATACATTTGGGTCACATTGCATGGGAGTATCCTTATTCAGAATCACCTGCAAAAAATAAAAGTGAATAAATTTATTCATTATAAAATGTTGATATAATATCGAAATTATGATAAGCATTAAAAAAAATTATACTAAAAATGTAAAAAAGTTTTAGCACCAACTCGATGAAAGCGATCGACGAGGACTGGAAAGTCCTGATCTGATTTACAGCAAAATCAAAATAAGAAACAACCACAAAGAAACCACAAGAAGATGCTATAGTACTTTTTCTTCGGCTAACAACGATCGATTAGGAGCTTAGGTCATCCCATCTTCCAAGAGGATTAAATCTCCTTCCTATTACTGTCTCCAGCAGGACAGTTAAAAATGAACAAAAATATCGCCCAGAACAAGAAGCTGGGGAGTAAGAAAAATTTACTACATCAATTGAACAGAAAAGGATTAACCAAAGATTATCCTGTACTTTATAAAGTCTTTGAAAAGATTTCAGCACAAATACCTGCAGAATTTGAAAAGATTTCAGCACAAATACCTGCAGAAGATGAGGTGGCAAAACTGGTGGGTTCTGAGCTTTTTCGAACTCTCGACGGTCTGGTATTTCTTGAGTGAAATTTTTCAATTTCTCAATTTCACGTTCATTAGGCGTATCATGTGAGGAGGGTGGTGCACCACTCATATTTACCTTCCTCATCGCTTCTCCAGCATTTGATGATGCTAAATCACGATCAAGTGCATCGAAAACCTAAAAATAAATATGGCGAAAAAGAACTACTACTGCTTAACCTAATATATCATAAATGAACAAATTCACAGAAAGATCTTTTGCCAAGGTCATTAACGTAAGATTTAAAATGAAAACTGATATGATGAGGTAAATAAATATGTAAATAAGAAATTCTTCCAAATCCGCTCCTAGTAATACAATTACATGAACTCTCCGCTTTGACAGATCAAAAAAGTGAATTTGCTTAGATCATCAACCAACAAAAAGTGAACGAAAAGCACTGTACTACCCGTACATTTTAGAGAAGCCTTTATCTTCTTTATAAAGTTCAAAAAAAAAGAAAAAATAACTTCAAAATCTGCTTCATCAATTGCGATGACATTGTTTTGACTACCAAATTTATTGTCAATTTTCGCAGCATTTTCATCAACTACCCACTTCCATCAATGAAAAATTTATATTCATGTCTACCTGCAAAAATTGATTTTGATAGGCAAAACGAAGTTTATTTGTTGAACTTAGAACAATGTCTTTGAACAGAGACTTTTCTACTATACCTTACCTGCACTGGAATATATACCAGAACTGTGCTCACGTAAATAAAATGAGACTTACGACTTACTATCTACAGCATGTTTTGTGAACAAACGATACTGGAAAACTTAATAAAGAACTGCAGAGTCCACATTACCATGGTTTCTTTACATTTCACTCTCTGCGCTTACCGGGATTTAAGTTGATGATAGTCGAAAAATCCTGAGTAGATTTGCATAATGGTGTCATCTTCTTCCAACCATCCCAGGAACCGGATATATAAACTCCACCCGCCTGACTTCCTCCTTGCCATTTAAAAACTACCGGATATTCATTTGCTTCAGAAAACTGGATACTTGGTGTTGAAACGGACCCGTCGCTTTTTGCAATTTTTACCTAGAACATTTAAAAAAAAATTCAATTTAAAAAATTCTTTTGAAGTGAAGATTTTATCTACCGCAACATCCAACAACAAGTTGATATTAAGCCTGACCAGATCAAATATATCCAGCAGTTATCTTTTCTTCAAACAAGCGAGCATGGCTAACAACCAAAAAATCAATAATGGCCGATCAGTAATCAGCAATTGATCGAACAGTATCAATTAGTGGTGATCTTAATTTTATGAATTTTCTACATAATCTTTTTCATGAAACAAAATAAAATCTCGCGATATGAGATATGGCCAACCAGAGAAACCAATCGATTACACACATCTTTCGATACATCACCGATATGGCAATCCTAAGAATCATAAGAAAAGCCTAATGAATGAAATGTATATAAAAACCTGTACAGGACATCCATCTTCCGTCGTACCACCTCCACTCATCATATGACCAGATGCACCACTACCACCAGCTACACTACCACCTGTCCACTGTCGTGTGCGTTGTTGTCCATCGAGGACACGCTCACGTTTGTGAAGTCCACCCTGATTATTGCCCATAACACAGCCTAACTGCTTCGTTTTCTTCCACGGCTTCACTCCAACAACAATTTCTTCCTTTATTCTTAGAATTCCTTTAGAAATAATAATATCCACCTTAACACTACCTTTTCTGCAAATAGAAAAACATAAGCACAAGAAAGTGAAAAGGAAAAACAGAGAGGAGAGATAAAGAGAATCACAAAAAGTAGTGCAGCTGAACAAAATAATTTCCTACATTTGCGACCAACAAAGTAATGGAATTATTATAAACGACTGATCGAATCGCTGCACAACTCATTCTTCCTTTTTTTTCCTCCGTGTTAACATATCTTGTACTAAGTCCCTATACTCTCCATCGTCTGCAAGTTACGTTGTGACAACAGTAGTACCAATAAAACTCACTTGGCTTTACTTAATATTTCGAAATATTTAAAGTCTTAGGTTCTTGACTACGAGATAAAAAGAAAAAATTTTGTCTACCCTTTCTTTTCGTCGACTAAAAGGTAATGCTTAGATTATAGGAAAAGAGCGGTTAAATGTATATTTATACTACGAACTTTAGAGAGCAAAAGAATTAACTTAACTTAAAAATAGCAGAGAAAAGAAAAAAACGACCAACAACGGCTCCATCTAAAAATAGATTGCTTAAAATCACAGAAGATAACAGTACGATGGAATTGGATAAATGTGAGGTAATAATGACGAAGCAAAAGATAACGATAAAGTGGATAAACGATAAAAAATGGTTACTAGTAAAAATGAGTGAAAAATAAAAGGAATTATGACAAAAAAGAACTAATAAAAGCAAAACACGAGACGGATATACTTAATAAGTAAGAATAGATTTTACCAAAAGTAGTCACAGCAAAAAAGTAGGTCAAGCGATAACATGATAATGACATAGCATTATTATTATCTATTAAGCTTATAGTAGTCATTATTGACATGGTTCTCTCAAAAGTGATTCATCAATTAAACGAACACTAGATTTTGATATGCTAATTGAAACGAATGTCTCGCACGTACGCATACGATGGATATCTAGAATTCAATAAGCAAAAGCAAAATGACCAGGCCAAATTCCCTGGAAAGACAATATGTGACTTTGACTAGTTCCTCGTCCTTCCCAAGCCTTTGGAGAAACTTCCGCATCACAATTCAAATACGATATTTGGAACAACCAACCGTCACGTGCCAGCTTTTGCGGCCCGTTATTTCTGGCCACCAAGAACTGGACAAAACTGCCAAATCGGTATCCTGGTTCCTCAGCTCTTTCTTTCTTTATTCTTCATCCTTTCTTCGTCCGTCTCTTGTCTACGTCATCTTCTTATCTGTGCGTACCCTCCTCTCGTCTAGATTTTTGAATATTTTATGTTACTGGAGACTACTTCTAAGTTTGAGGTCCACCTATCAACCATTTTATCATGATGAGGACTCTCTCTATTCGCAGTAATTATTTTGCCACCATGTAGGTTCCGTCAACATTAACAACTCTATTTCCATGAGAACTGTCTGCAGGCGCACCATTAATTAATTGACCACCTAATAATTATCTGTTTCGAATACCATAATTGGATCTAATGAAAGAAGCGTTATCATTTACCGACTAACCAATATGTTTAAGCAGTATTCAGGACTTCGCTTGAGAACGGCCGTAACTCCGCATCTAAATTAACCCACGACAATATCGAAAAAATAATGTTAAATGAAATGAAGCAGTCACGGAAGGTTATTTGGTGTAAAAGTAAGTACAGCTAGTGGTTGCTTTATGATTCATTTTGGTTAATCGTGACAGTTTGTCTCTACATTATCGTCTAAATTTATGCAAACTCCAATTTTCATTGAATTTCCTCATTTTGTAACTATCTGAATCGAGATAATTAGAAACCATCTGCTGGATTTGCTCAAGGATTTGCAGATTATCAATTTGAATCGTGAATATAGTCAAATAAGAACCTATTCATCGATCAAATATGGCATCAGGCGAAGATGCTCTTCGAGGACAAATTGTGGAGCTGAAAGAAAAAATTGCGGATATCGAGAAAGAAATGGCACAATTACGAAAACGCCGAAGAGCATACATAGCAAAATTGAAACTCATGGTGGGAGATTTGGTAGTCCGTCTTCTTGCCTTTTCAATCTCGAAAAATTAAGCTACTCGAAGCCTAGGTAGATTTGCCGGCAGCTTAGAGATGATATCGTAAACTCCCTCCAGAAAACTTTTGTCTGCTAGGACCCCGCAACCTTACCGAAGGCCTCCGCAGTTGCGCACGGAAACAATCACCTACTGGAAAAGTTTTTAATTAAATGCAGGAAGTGGGTTAAAGATTACTTTTCAGGAGAATCATCTGGATGGATATCACATAAAGGGAGGCACCGAACATACAGAGAGCAGCGATGAATCGTTCAGCACTACCGAATTATTGGAACTTAGCTTATCGTCAATTAGTTCCTCAGTACTTGGTAGCAGCGCATCGCATAACGATAATGATAGTGATCAAAATGATTCGGAAAGCAACGTGGAGAGTGGCCTACATGGCCGCTTTCGCTGTAAAGGGAAGCAGAAAATTGACGAAAATGAGGAATGAGGAACTCTAAAAGTGATCGAGGGATTGTACATCATTTAAAGAATTAAAAACTCCGGAATAACTTCACGAAGTACAACACTTATCACCGGAAAAATTAATCATTAACTTCTTCTTTATGCTTCCGCACACATATAAACAAATGTTGAGATTTAAAATATAAAAAGCACTACAATACAACACGACGTGATGCAAATAGTGACCTAATATTACAATAATCTAATATGCTAAATGAAAGATAACGGTATAGAGATATTATTCACTGCAAGTAAAGAAACGGATTAGCACTGAACGAAGTTAGATCTAATCAAAATATTACCCAGTTTGGCAGATATTTGCAGAGGAGAGCAGTTCGTGATTTAGCATTTTTGTGTTAAAAAAAAAAAAAATCAAGTGCCGTGGAAACGGAACTGTTCAGCGAAAGAAAGTACAAAGTGTCATTTCAAGGTGAATGCCACGCACTGTAGCCTTCCTGAAACCATTTCTATATAAACTAATCTACAGTTTCTATGTTACAAATACTT